ACGCCTTTTGGGGCGACTGACGGAGCGAGCGAGGGGGTGAGTCTTGCACGTGCGAAATTTCGAGGGGGTACCTCCAACTGACTTGTGCACGGCACCCTACTGACCGGTTTCTAGCGATGTGCCAAATTTGAGCACAATCGGCCCAGCCGTTCTCGAGATCTGGGAGCGGCACCCTGCACGTGCGCACGTGTAAAATGGGTCCCAACTGACTTGTGCACGGCACCATACTAACTGGTCCCTAACCGTGTACCAAATTTGAGCGCCATCGGTCCAGCCGTTCTCGAGATCTGGAAACGACCCCTGCACGTGTGCACGTGCAGCAGCACCCCAACTCTGGCACATGGATATGCAGTGCCCAGTGGGTGCCTACCTACATGCCAACTTTCAGCGCAATCGGCCAAGTAGTTACCGAGATATTGCAACAATTACAAAACTGACACCTCTTCGTTTTGCACGTGGCACGTGCAAAAGGGGTCACCCACATGCATCGGGAATAGTGCAGTTAGCAGTACTTGGTAGAAGGAATTAAGCCATCCTACAAAAATTACCGCGTGTAAATCGGTCAAGTGGTTGCTGAGATATAAGCCTCGCAAAAGCGTCCGCACGGCCGGCCGGCCGGCCGGCCGCTCATATATAATATCACACGGGGCCGGTAAAATGCTTCATTCAGGACCGAGGGATTTGTTGAGTTTTCCGCACGAGACCGAAGGTCGAGGGCGGAAAATTCAACAAAGCCCGAGGTCCTGAATGAAACATTCCGGCCCAAGTGTGATATTTATTTTAGCATATGCCGTTTAATTTCCATATTTAAGCTCCTTTAACAATTTTAAATGCTTGAAAGAAGTGGAAAAACCAAGACCGAATATCAAGAACTAAAAAATGTACATATTCCCTGACCAAGAAAATAAACCAAGCCGATTCAAGATCACTGTGTTCCATCATTGTGTCTGGCTCTGAGTTGGATTCATATCAAACCAAGAACATCTACTTCAACCTTTGTCATATGAGAAGCCAGAGTAACGTTCGTTTTCAATATTAGAGAAGAGTGGAAGGTATACCATCCTGTGAAGTGAGCGCTTGGTTTTTTACCCATGTCAGTATGAATAAAGTTTTTACTGATCAATGTGAAATGCGTTTTTTGTCAATTCATTGCAGTTGTAAAAGGCATGAAATTTACGCCATAAATGTAGGTGATTAATTAATATGTCTGTACCTACATTAGGATTTAAAATATTATCTTATTGAAAACCAACATTTACAATCTGTTCAATAGTTCAAAGCGACCAAATGCAACACGTAAGTTCACGTTAGATTTCTATCAGTTAAGCTCTTTTCCAGCGCCTTCCTCCGTCTCAGGAAATGCTTCAAAAGTTCGCTGATAAAATGTTTTGCCCATGGGCCGAAACCTTTGACCAATTGCCTTCAACATTATGCGGTTTAATCCAAAAAGCTTTTACCGCACGCTCGCGCTAATGCTAAAGGCATACTTCGGCATATGCTAATACTCAGAAATTTATGTTAATCTAAGGAAAGACTACGCTCGCTTCGCTCGCTCCGTAATAAGTAGTGACTCAATCATTTCAAGTTTACTGTCCAAGAAAGTAAAATGTACGCCACACCTGTCAGCGTTGAGAAAATGCAGAAATGTGTTGTCGATTTTTAGTTACATCGTTTTCTAAAAAAAGCGGCCAAATTACCCCACTCTCCCCTACCCAAAATTTGGCGCGCCTGCGGCGCGCCGTTTTTATGCTATGGCCCAGCGAAAAAAGTGGGGGCGTTTAACGCCCCCCCCCAGCAACTCGCGGGTTAAAGGGACCCTCCCACCTTCAAAAAAGTTTATGAATTGGCATGAAAGTGATGTCGCTCGGTTCCGAAAGAGCGAAAACGAATATCTACCAAATTTCACCGAAAAATATTCACCGGTTTTCAAGATATTAGACTTTTACTTTTGTTTACTTTTTTGGGATCTCCGCTGTTTCTAGCGACTTTATTTTAGAAGTGCGGCGTTTGCGGCAGATGCTGCGCGCAAATAGCATATACCACCGCGTGCTACAAAACGTTTTAGTCAAACATTTAAAAATCGTTAGATATTTGCGCTGACGTCACACATTCAGAGGGGTATTCCTAAGCATTAGCCCCTCTGAATCAAAATGCTGCAATTTTGAAATTCAATATTTCCGATTTAAGGCATTTCTCGATGTTGTGAGTGCCGAAACCGGTAATTGTGAGCCAGGGACCCCATTTTGGCTATCTCAACTCAAATCTAATGTTAAGGTGGGAGGGTCCCTTTAACATTTTATGAACTTGACCCAAATGACCTTTGACCTGTTTCCGAAACTCCGAGACCATATCAGGCCGGAATCACGATTCGGCATATTGTCGGCGCAATTATACGTGCGTTTCCAGCCGTTTGCATCTTCATTTCGAAGGCTAGGAGCAGTGGGTATTTATCGGGTTGAAAATAAGAAATGTACTCTAAATGGCATGCACTAATGCTTTGTTAGCTATGCCCTTGTACAGTCGGTTACAACTTGATCGATAGACACTCTTTATCCACCGGTAATCTATGCCTCAGCACTGGCAGTATAGCAGCCGCCTGGTACTGGTAGACTGTGCCGCTTGGCTTGGTGTTCAACGGCACAGCCTATCCACGCCGTATGACACCGGCCCGGGTCGCCGGAGGAGGTCTCCATTCCAAGAAGTGTTGTTAGATTTGGATGTTGTTAGATTTGGATGTCCAGAGCTGGGAGGGAGGTGGGGGGGGGGGTCAAATACATTTTTAGTCACCCGGACGAAAAGTCGGAGGGCCTCAGCCCCCATGAAGCCACTGGCTCCCACGCCTTTGATATAGTTCCTTCGATCAACTTGTAACCGACTGTACCAAGCAGACATGTGCATGAATCCGAGAAAATGGAGCTGGGATCTGATCCCACGGATCCTGATCCCGGATCCGACGGGATCATAGATCCAGCTCTTTAATTTAGCGAGAGATCCGTAGGGATCATAGATCCGATTCTTACTTTTTGTCAACACAGAAATCCCCGAAAATCACTCGTTGCAACTAACAAAGTTCTATTTTAGTGATTTGATGTGATTGCACGTCATAATGCATAGTTTTGTGGCACTTATTGACTTAGAAACACCTGGAAACCTGGCTTCAGATGATGTGCATGGCGGGATCCACTCAGATCATAGATCCACGTTCTTGGTTTATCGTCAGATTCTATGAGATCATAGATCCAGGATAAAATTTTCACGCCGGATCTGGCGGATCATAGATCCTAGCCTGCTGAGTTTCCTCAGAGATCCACTGAGATCATAGATCCATCACTCGGAGCCATGCACATGTCTGGTACCAAGGCATTTCTATGAAAAATGCCTCCGTTGCCACTGCCCACCTTTTCAGTGAGGTCACCAGGGAACTGACTTCGGGAACCTCGCGCCACAGACGCCAGCGGGCTGTGCGCAGTCTGTCATGCAGTATACCATCAGCTGGCAGGCACAAGTGACTCACTTTGCGGCGACTGGTCCGGCTGTCTGTCTCGGTCGGGGTCGTCGCCATCTCAATTACGGCGCGGTGCTCGTCGTCTGCACTCTGGACCCACTGAACTCGGAAACACGCATTTAGGGAATGAGTCATGAAAAGACCGGACCGTTTTAGTGCGCAGATGTTGTCTTTACTTAGCATACCTATCCGCATTGTGTGTGTGTGTGTGTGTTTTTTTTACAGTTTTGATTCACGCTATAGGTCGACTGGTGGTAATTGGCTGCTTTTGATATTGATTCGCAGGTGCTGAATGCCCACTAAAGCATTGACAGTTGATGAGCAATATCAACTTCGCACACCAATTTCAGCCATTATACCTATTTTTTAATAGTAAACTGATCGTTGTGTATAAAAAAAAACATTCCGTTGATGCTATTGCTATTGATCAACCTGCCTCGTCCAAATCCTCAATTGAATCAAAATATAAATATCAAAATTACAAAGTCAAGCATCAACTAAGCTTTTTATACCATTCGATTCAGCTCGACGAGCTGAGTCGAATGGTATAAAAATCTTTGGTTGATAAAAGTCGCAATCGAATATACCCAACTTTGTAATTTAGTCATTTATATTTTGATGCAATTGAGGTTTTGGTCAAGTAACATATGCTGATTGCCTTCATGGTTTTCCTCACAACTCTTTCAAACCTTCCTCGTCAACTAGAGTTTCGTGTATTGTGCAAAAGGCATGCACTGTATGTCGACGTAACTTCCCTTTTAGTTTCAATTCTTTGGTTTTATATACTTTGCTGGGTTACTCTGGGGTGAAATTGTGAAAGCCAAAGAGCTCGCTTTATTGATCGGATTATCACTGAAATAAAAACAAATGTTGACAATATTAATGGGAGTTTTAGGACTCTTTAAGTTCACTTATGTAGAAGGAGATGTTCAAATGAGACACTTGCTTTTTAATCAAAGATTAATATTCCCTCCTATCTGTTCGTCATTTTTGGACGAACTATATCATGTTGCAACTCCGACTCAATTTCGAGACGACCGATTCGGCGACGCTATGACGACCTTCAAGGCGTTAGCAAGTGTCCATTCAGAGGACAATGCTGCACTCTTCTGCAGCCACCAGCCCACTGTGAAGCACTCAGCTGAAAAGAGCAATGCATCACGCGACGCTAGCGGACGGCGGTGACAGCCAGCGGTCGCGGGTCGAGACGCGGTGCAGCGGCGGTGGACAGTGGCGTCACTCGACCGCCGCACCCACCACAATTGTCGCCAATTTCGCCAAATTATTTTCGAGAAGCCGGAATATACCATAGGCCTGGACTCAGGCACATACGACTGTCCCACTCTAAGCTGGAGTTTGTTTTGAGATCCACTGATCCACGGCTGCGAATCCAATACCTACTCGTAAGTCGTATTGTCGCACATGTCTGATTGTCTGGCAGGCCCTAAGAGTACAAAATGCACCTCACTTACTAAATTCTTGCTCTGTTTCACAGGTTTCTTGACGTTCATAAACTGCTACAATGTGCGGTGGTCCTCAACAGTTCAAGAGGTGTTCACTGGAGCTAAGATTGTGGCACTTATCATCATCATCGGAACAGGTCAGTGGACGGTGGCTCGGCAATAATGTGCTAGAAAACAGACTCTATAATATTTTTTCGGCCAAATCTTACACATTTGGGTGCATAGGCCTCTCTCAAGGGCTTGTCAGCATATGTGGTTAGGGCGTTATAGGGTAATGATTAAGTAAAATAGAGTATATTCCAGTTCATTGTTTTTGTTCTGTGAATTACAAACGTACCGAAACATTTCGGCTTCATCTCAGTTGATCTCGTAGTTAACTTTGTATGCACTATGAAAATTGGCATAGACATAAGCCAGTTCTCGGTTAATAGGCATGACTCATTTGACCGTTGCCTTTCTTACCGGACAGGTGTGTACGTGCTAGGTACCGGAGACTTCAGCAAATACAGCCAACCGTTCGAGGGAACGCGCCTGGACCCGGGACGGATCGCGCTGGCGCTCTACTCTGGCCTCTTCTCTTACGCCGGATGGTGGGTATTGACCTCCCATAGGCTTACTAACCTACGTATACTGTGACACTCATTGTGCGACATGTTGGGTTCGTCCATGGTCCAGTGTCCGTATGGTTAGGGTAATGATAAAAATCAATGGTGCGCTCATCACTTTTTTGCCAATTTAAAGTGCTGTTTTGATAGTTGTACTCGCCGTGACAGGTTGAACCAACACCTCGTTTACCGTGTATGGCTAGTTAGGGGAAGTTGGGGCAATGCCGGAGTTGGGGCAAAACCGAAATTCGAGATATTTCGAAAACCGTACGACATGGATGCCACCTGTCAGTGATGCTCTGAAGCTTAAGTGACTACCAATTATCGCATGTTTGTTACCAGTCGTCATTCGGAATACTTCGGCTGTGAGGGCGCCAAGAGCGTTTTCAAGGCTCGCGTTCCTTGTACTACATGCGCCTTTGAAGCTGCATTTCTTACTCATTATGCTACCGTTTGTCTGGCCAATTCGGTCAAGTAATCTTCAGCATGTCTTTGCATAAGTGTGCTGCCTATTTGAAATTCATACGGCACGTTGAAAAGTTATGGGTCTGCAAATGAAAGTATGGCTGGCTGGGGTAATGCCGATAACGTGCAATTACGCACGTTAAAGCACGCTACGTGGACTTTACTGCTGTAGAATAGCAACGCGAATTTTTAGTCACACAAATCACAATTTCAACCGACACAACGACCTGTTACCTATAAGGAATTATTTACCTGGCATTTTCTTATTATATCACACAATTATAACTTCCAGTGTACACCAAGCGTCCTCAAGCTCTTAAAACGCCAGTCAGCTTTGATAAATTCTGGATAAAGTTTGAGATAAAGTGGCAAAACATCAATGTCGGCATTCCCCGTAGATCATTTCTCCCATTTTCGGCTTTCCCCGCAGTCCGGGGCAACGCCGAAAAAGTCACTTCTTTGATATTTTTAGTTTGTGCGCTTAACAGTATGCGAATTCATCAAATTCGCCTGGTATGTTTGAAAGGCAAAAGACTGGCCTCTCGAATGACGCCAACAAGAATAGCTTATGTTGTCTACCTTGCGTGCTACGGGCGTCAGAAAAAAAGTATTCGGCGTTCCCCCAACTTCCCCTATTGGCTGTAAATCGGGATGCATGCATAATGTGAATAATTTTGCGAAGTGCGCAGTGTGACTAACATATCCTCTACTTAACCCGCGACCGATCTTCGTCGGAGTTACGGCCGTCACACGTCGTGAGAGGTAGGTAGGTATTCAATTTTGACTAAACCCACATTGCCTCGAAAGTCAAAGCCCAAAGCTCGACGTTGGCCCCAGGCTCTGACACAAGGCTCTTGCCTTACCTCTCGCTCTCTTACCTTAACTACTCTCGATTATTCGGCTGCATTTGATAAAAAGTTGTCTCCCTTAACAGCGCAATAGCGGAATGAGTTGCATGCTGATTGTTGAGCTTATTTTTCACAAAGCACAGTACTATGTCACATAGAGCGTTTATCGCTCGTCTGGGCACATTATGCACTTTATTTACATCTTATGGTGAAAAGGCTTCAATGGCCCGCAATTTAGTGTCATATTTCTTGCATGAGGTACTGCTCTGCTGCTGACAAACATAACCATTCATCTCGTCGACTGCTGCATATTTTAAATTGTTTATTTTATATATCTAAGCTCGAACATTATAATTTGAGCACTTTCTTTTAGTTGAGCCAGAAGCATTGTACATAGAACCGGTGTCGCAGCTCAAGTACAGCCGGTTACAAGTTGGTCGATAGGGACTGTATCATAGGCGTGGGAGCCATGAGGTTCCCGGGGTCTGAGCCCCTCTTGACTTTTCGATCGGGAATTTCATAATGTATTTAACCCCCTCCTTCCAAGCTCTGGGCATCTATAAAATCTAACAATATTCAAATCTAGCAACTCTTCTTGGAATGAAGACCTCCTCCGGCGACCCGGGCCGGTGTGATACGGCATGGATAGGCTGTGCCGCATAACACTCAAGCCAACCGGCACAGTCTACCATGCAGTACCAGGTGGCTGCTACTGCACAGTGCTGATGCATAGATTACCGGTGGATAATGAGTCACTGTAGATCAACCTGTAACCGACCGAACAATAAAATGGAGAGTTCCTTACCCCAAAACGTTGTATATTGTATGACGTTTATGTATATTTTAGACATTGTAGCTATATGTATGTACCTACGTAGCATGGGTGAAACTTTGACATCACCATTGGGGTCCCAAACGTCCAAGGGGCCTCCATTTAGTGGGGGCCTCCAAGCAATTAGGGGCCTCCAATTGCGGAAGCGGTAATTTACGAGCCACGCCAGGGCCTCCTCTAAGAAATTTTCATTGGGGGACCAGAGGCTCAGAAGCCAAACATGGGGTACCCCCAAATCCAGTTTTCTCATCGGATTTAGGCCACTTATTTTTCGTCACAGCTCTGATGCCATGATTTTTTTTTAATATCGATAAAGAAATGGTAGGTCATCTGACCCTACTGGTGGATCCAGGCCAGCAGGGTGACATTGTATGTAAATATCCCCCGCGGCATCCGAAATCGACGAAAATTTCTGGCTTTTTCACTTTTGACAATAAAACACAATGCCTTTATAATAGAAAAAAAAATTAACGGCACAGCATTGCGCAAGGAATCTAGCCGTAAGCCGACCCCAGAAAGTGTGAGGGTTAACCTTCGCCGGCACCTGGGGGGAGGGTCGCCACCCCCAAGTTAGTTTTTCTGCTCTACACTTAACATTTTTAAAGCTAGAAACCTGATTTTCTTTGTATAGCTGCTTTTCTATCTTTTCTCAGCGTCCATTGAAAATTTCAAGCTTCTGCGGCATTTGGGTTTGGAGATATGACCTTGTTCTTCAGGTCATGTCATGTCCTAAATGACGAATACCCAATATCTTGCGATGGCTATGGGCCTTGTGAGCTTTTGACACGCTGATTTCGGCTTTTTTTGCCAGTCTTACCTCCCACCTATCATTGAACATGTTGTTCTGCGATGTACAGATGTCAGAGTCAGGGTCAAGGTCAACCTAGGTCATCTAAAATTATTGCGCTTTAGGCAAGCTGAATTTACTTTTCGTGAAGTTTCTTTGACTGTATGTTTAGTAAAAGCTTCTCATTTCATGATCAAGTGTAATAGGGACACACAAACCGATCTGTGCACACATCAGTACATACACAGACATACACATTACACAGACATACAAACACATATCATTGACCTTGACCTAACTTGACGTGAAATGACCACAGCCAGCAAATTAGTCGGATAGTGTGACAAAGAGCTGTTCTAGCTCGCTTGGCACTAATACGGCAGCGTCATCGGTATATGATGGGTTGGCCCGCTGCTTGTGTAGGCATCTTATTCGACATCACCACAATTTTTTCTTACAAGATTTTAAGCCTTGCGGTCAAGAGCAACAGATTCTTTGGGAAGTGACGAATCCAATGATACCAATTTTACCTCATCAGGTCAGTCATTGACCTTCCAGGTCAGGTCAAACTAAAGAATGTTGCTGTTTGGGGTCACCGTTGCCCGTTGGAATATCACGTGCGCTGCTCATCATGTACCGATGACGCTGCCGTATTGTGGTGCCAAGCCAGCTAGAACCTCTTTGTCACACTATCCGACTAGGTTTTTGCTGGCTGTGGTCATTTCAGGTCAAGTTAGCTCAAGGTCAATGACATGTGTTTGTATGTCTGTGTGTGTCTGTGTGTACGAGTATACTGATGTGTGCACCGACTGTGAATGTGTCCATATTACATGAGATCATGAACTCAGAAGCTTTTGCCAAAAATACAGTCAAAGAAACTTCACGAAAGTAAATTCAGCTTGCCTAAAACGCAATATTTTTAGACGACCTAGGTTGACCTTGACCCTGACCCTGGCATCTCTACATCATTGAACAACATGTTCCATGATAGGTGGGAGGTAAGATTGACAAAAAAGGCCGAAATCAAGGTGTCAAAAGCTCACAAGACCCAACGCCAACGCAAGATATTGGGTATTTGTCATTTGGGTTATGACATTACCTGAAGAATAAGGTCATATCTCCGAAACCAAAAACCACAGAAACTTGAAATTTTCAGTGGACGCTAAAAAAGGATAGAGCAGCAGCTATACAAAATATCCGACTTCTAGCAATCAAAATGTTTAGTGCAGAGCAGAAAAAACTACCTAGGTCGGGGTGGGGGGTGTGGCAACCACTGCCCCCCCCCCCATGTGCGGACGAGGATTACCTAAGTAATTTGAATATCAGGAAAATAATTTATTAAATCAGGTATTCCAACAGAGTCCCGCTTTTTTATAGGTGACCTCCGATTTGTGTTGCATCTAAGTTACCCAGGGGGCCTCTTATTTGTAATTGTAGGTACAGTACAGAGAGCCTCCTACTTCGACTACTTGCACAGAGAGCCTCCTAGCGTACATACGGCTAAGCTTCTACAGGTCGAGCGCCGGTCTCTTGTACGTACAGAGAGCCTCCTACTGTTACAGAGGGCCTCCTGTTTGTCTAGGGGGCCTCCTATTGGTTAACGGCGCCTCCTATTTGTCCAAGCGGCCTCCTATTCGTCTATGGGACCTCCTATTTGTCCAGGAGGCCTCCTGTTTCTCCAGAAGGTCCCCTATTTATCCAGGGGGCTTCTATTTTCCAGGGGGCCTCCTCTTTATCTAGGGGGCCTCCTACGTGTTCAGGGGCCTCCTATTTGTCCAGGGACCTCCTATTTATCCAGGGGTCTTTTATTCGACTAGGAGTCTCATATTTGTGCAGGGGCCTCCTATTTGTCCAAGGGTCTCCTACTTGTCCCGGGGCCTCCTTTTTTTGAAGGGACTCCTTTTTGTTAAGGGAGCCTTATATTTGTCCAGGGGGCCTCCTATTCGTACAGAGAGCCTCTAGCTCCTACTTGTCCATGGAGCCTCCTATTTGTTCAAGAGGTCCCCTATTTGTCCAGGGGGCCTCCTATTTGTCCAAGGGACCTGTTATTTTTTTAGGGGGCCTCTTTGCCCAAGAGGCCTCCTATTTGTCCAGCGTGCCTCCTACATGTTCAGGGGGCCTCCTATTTGTCCAAGGGGCCTCCTATTGGTTAAAGTAGCCTCTTATTTTCCAAGCGGCCTCCTATTTATCCAGAGGGCTCCTATTTTTAGGGGGCCTCCTCTTTATCCAGGGGGCCTCCTTGTTCAGGGGGCCTCTTAATTGTCCAGGGGCCTCCTTTTGTGAAAGGGGCCTCCTATTTGTCCAGGGGGCCTCCTTTTGTGAAAGGGGCCTCCTTTTTGTCTAGGTCTAGGACCTTCTATTTGTCCAGGGGGCCTCCTATTTTTGCAGGGGCCTCCTATTTGTACAGAGGGCCTCCTACTTGTCCATGGGGCCCCCTATTTGTCCAGGGGCCTCCTTTTGTGAAAGGGGCCTCCTGTTTGTCTAGGTCTAGGACCTCCTATTTGTCCAGGGGGCCTCCTATTTTTGCAGGGGGGCCTCCTATTTGTACAGAGGGCCTCCTACTTGTCCATGGGGCTTACTATTTGTCTAGGGGCCTCTTATTTGTCTAGGGCCTCCTATTTGTCCAGGAGGCCTCCTACTTGTCCAGAGAGCCTCCTATTTCTCCAGGGGACTTCCTGTTTTCCGGGGGCCTCCTACTTGTTCAGGGGGCCTCCTACTTGTTCAGGGGGCCTCCTATTTGTCCAACAGGGCCTCCGATTTGTCCAAGGGGCCTCCTATTTAAACAGAGAACCTTTTATATGAATATCGGACCTCCGTTTGCAAAGTAGCTGATGCGTCTCGGGGGCCTCCACTATTGGGGTCCCAAAATGACAATTGGGGTCCCAAATGTTCGCATTGGGGTCCCACATGGGACCTCGAAAGTATACAAAGTTACACCCATGCTACGTAGGGGAGAGTGGGGTGGGTTGTATCAGTTTTTACTCCGAGACCCATAACCTCGTAACTATCCGTGATAAAGTCATTATTTCCATACTATCTCCTTCCTTGATTCTTCTGTTTTTTTGTGCAAAGTAACTTTTCCGCTACCTCTATCAGTTTTTCTTCTACGGTCTGCCGAATAGAACAATGTTTTTGATACAACTTGCCCCATGGCTTGGGTGAGTTGTATCACATGGTGGGGTAATTTGTATCACTATTTCACGTTTCAGGGAGTGTGCTTGCTACTGGTTTTGAACATAACAACAACATCAAGTGGGGTTAATACAATGTATATGCTCAAAGGCTTCACTTTTATTAGACCAAACTTAGGTCAATCCGAACGAAACATCGAAACGAACGAAACATCAACAGACTAGACGCAAAAGTGGCCCGTTAGGAGCAAAGAAGCCAACAAATTGTGCCGAAATGGAACGAGTATTGACTAGCTACCTACAAACGCGAGCCAGGGCTTAGCTTTCGCGATCAAAAGCAACATACCCATACATACATACATACATACATACATGTTACAACATACCCCACCCGGCTCTGATACAACATGTACCTCGCCGCCATCTTGGAAAAAACATCCTCGTGCTCAAAAACAGCGGACAGCTGGAGAAATCCATTTTCACTCACGCAGCCTTAGAACCTACACTCACCACCGCTACGGAGATCTTTCAAATTCGTGCACATCTAAATGCCCAAAACACACATTTTCTTGCAACTTATTTTTTTTAGAATGACATTAAAAAAACATAAAATCGGCTCTCACCTCGAGACGCGTCCACCCAGCCACACGACAGAACAGGGAAAGATGGCGCCCGGAAAACCTCGTCGGCAGGTCGTGTCACAAGCGCCATCTATTGGATAAGTTTGGCACAATTCGCCCTGATACAACTTGGACATGATACAACTCTCCCCGCTCTCCCCTATATAATACGGAACGTTCGTTACCCGGAAAAAACAGCAAATTTTGCACATCTAAACGTCGAATTTCTCAAGGACATTTGTCGCTTAGATATGAAATGTTTTCTCCAGTCAGTGGAAACTGGAAAGTGATAAAGCTGTTTCTGCTTCTTCTTTATAACTAATGTATGTTTTGTATCCGCCGTGTATTCTTTTGTGCCATCTTTCTATTTTACCTCTGACTCTATTTTAACACCAACGGTCTTGTTGTTCTTTCAGGAACTATCTCAACTTCGTGGTAGAAGAACTCAAGGATCCATTCAGGTAAGGGATGACGAATCGTTCTAAGGTGGACTCGCATCCCTGCTTTCATCGGTTACTTACGTTCGTTATGTAGAGTTATCACGGGTGGATGATAACTCTACATAACTCTACATACTAGATGATAACTCTACATACGTTACCATACCTGGAGTCATCATACGTTCACGTAATTAGTTATGATTAAATTGATGTTCAAAGCGTTTAAACATTTTCTCGGGAACTCTCTCAATACAATGCACAGGTTATCACTTTTGACCATTCGAGGGTGTGAACTGTGACTGTCTTTAATCAAATGACCTTTCATGACCTTGAAGCCAAGTGGATCTTATTATGACATAGGTACCGCTATTAAAACTGATAGGTAACACAGAATGAATATGAATGCCGCAGGAGCCTGCCGCGCGCCATCTACATCTCGCTGCCGCTGGTCACTGTCGTCTACCTGCTGGCCAACGTGGCCTATTTCGCAGTGCTCTCGCCGACCGAGGTGCTGGCCTCCAACGCTGTGGCAGTGGTGAGTGGGTGTAGCCGCATTTATAATTATAAATTATCCTTAGCTCAACCACCAACAAAAACAATCACCAGCTTCAGATCATCAGAAGTCCCTGCAAGCGGACTCTGACAGAAACGTTCAAGCTATAGTTTCAGCCTTCGGGTCAGGAAACGGTACAGTCAGCCAAGCGTTGCCAGAAAATCTGAGCAACACTTCAAGCTCGTATGAATTTGATAAAGAAACAGCGTTTGGGCCTATATTTTAGCATGACAAAATGAAAGGGACCCTCCCACCTTCAAAAAAGTTAATGAATGGGGTTGGGAACTCGATTTTTTAAGAATGCATGAAAATGATCAAACTATTTTCACAGAATTTATGGTGCATACCATTGCCTCATAAAATCAATATGCTGAGAGAAATGGGGGAAGAAAGATAGGAAACTTGTTTTGAAAAGTTCTTGAAAAAGATGCTCTTGATGCTGTTACGTCACATGTCACCTTCTGCGGTTGACAAATAATGGCGCATCTGGCGCACCACAGATTACATGTTATATCAATGGGTGAAAGATGTTGTTTGTTTCACTCTGCCATTCGCGCTGTTTTTAACTTTAAATTATGCTAAAACATTTACGGATGAAATGTTCAGTGTCAAAAATTGATGTGTCTGCCGTGTACTATATTCCCACTTAACATTGAGCGCGTGATAAACATTTTATGTACCTCGAATTTTCAAATGATAAAGATGATGAATCGGAGGATGCTGAAAAGCAAAAGTTCATTCCAATATTTGGACTACTTTACGATTAAAATGTTTACATTCCTGTCATCTTATTGATCATTTATTTGTTCTTTTCTATGAAAATAACTTAAGGCGTTGAGAACCGAGGTAATTTCTATCTACCGTGCCTTAACTTACCAGCAACAGCAATCTATCTACGCCCTACGGTGGCAAGGGAGACTGTGAAAGAAGCGTAAGATGGATTCTAAACAATTCTTTTGTGATATACTGAAGGGCAAAGTGCAGAGAAGAGCGTACAAGTCCTGTTTTGTGCCAGGCTGTTGCAGTAGCACTTATGAAACTCCGAAAACGATCTTCGTTCATGTCCCGAACAACATTACCCTGAGGAGATGATCGTCTGCAATAGCAGGAAGAGCTGATGCAAGTACTTTGAAATTCACTATCAAGTCGGTGCTATTGTTGTAATGATCACTGTGAGGTGAGATATTTTGTGCAAGGGCTGAGTGTAATGCCCAGGAGATGACCTCCATTCGCCCCCTGACCGGTCAGGATTATAAAATTTGAGTGGATGGCGGTCCGTTTGGGGTTCAGATGTCAATTGTATTTTGTTACTGTCAAACAATACATGTTATGCTGGCAGCGAATGTGTGTAACGTCGGTTTTCGAAACAGAAGTTAGAACTGTAACGGCAGAGTGCTTGCTGGTCTCATCGTAAGTATTGTAAGTGTTGTAAGCAAAAGCATTGTCAATATTGTAAGTATTGTGAGCATTGATGTATGGTAGATATCACCTCACATGATCTCGGCTCAGATAACCCTCCCCGGTGTCCCTGTCAGTAAATGGCACCTGGATCATTACAGATAAGATAATTTGTCATAATTCTTAAAGAATTGGGTGGTTTTGACTCGCTTACTCGAGGTGCAGGTCGCATTTCAAATTTTTTTCATATTGTTATGTGGATTTACATTGCTTGGGCCTGTGACGTCATTTGGCTTCCACCAATAGGCGCTCGGTTTACTTTTGTATGACCCATACGAGGTCACGCCAGGGCGGTGACCGGGACGGTCGGTCAGTTGGAGGATAGCTCTCGCCACGTAAGTACCTCGGGTCGGTGTTAGGGTCGTCCACGCCAGGGGTTCTGGCGGGACGTCTCCCCTCCCCCGCGAACAGTGTCATTCCGATATTCCCGGCTTGAAATCGTCTGCGCCAGGGGTTCTGGCGGGACGTACGTGTAGCGGGGCTCAGCTGCAAGATAATAATTTGTTTGTTTGGTTTGCGAGGCTGGTCAGTCACTGGGGCATATAGGCTGCTACGCTGTACGGTGATGGGTCATTGGGTTCTGGGCATTCAAAGAGGAATATTTAATCAGGTTGGCTGCCCGAGGCTCTCTCTCAACCCGGTTGGGACCCCCCCTTTAAATACGTTTACTTGAAACAGAAAAAACGACACTTCACATCACAGTCACATCCCGGCCACTGCACGGAGGGGTACCTCCCACTGGATATACCACATTCACATTTCGACTCACTCTAACCTAGCCTAACCTAACCTACCTAACCTAAAAACATAACCTAACGTAGCATAATCATGCACTCAAACACACATCTCACACACACGAAAAACGCCAGACTATCAGTCCGCTCCCTCCCTCTTTACCTAACTCTCCCCCAGTGGTGCACAGTGACAAGTTAATGCAAGCTTGTTAGATGTCATTTCCCTGCCCATGTAAAACGTAGCTGGTGTATTAGGCTGCGGATCACCCTGCCGCCAAGATAGAACACATGAGCAGCCTGCTCCCAAAATAAAAAAAACAAAATGGTCATAACCTCCCCTTCCCAAATAATTCCTAAATACCAGCACTGATCCTAATCTATCCTTATAATTTCAACAACGTCTCGTTCAGTGGCGACATAAGTTTGACGATCGCAGGCATGATCTGACTTGTCTAATCAATCCCGTCTCCGACTCAAGCTAGTAAAAACGACAGCGGAGGCCTAAAACCTAACATCAAGGGAGAATCTAATGCCAGGCCGGATTTTCCCTGCTTTGTAGAGTCCAACTCTCCCCTCCCTTGATCTCTAGCCGTGACCGCGACACGGCTATTTATTTTGCCCGTCTTACGCCGTAGAAACCGCCCGAGGCATCGAACGAGGACGACCATGCAAGAGCAAAACATGCTGCGCGCGTCGCACGCGATCACCATTGTTGAGCCGTCGATTATCAACTTTTATAGAGAACCTAAAGTTAAACCTATCCAATCGCGAATTACGTAGCATTTCCATCGCCTAACGATCCTTTGAGCTGCAAACCACCTATCAACATAACTCTAGCGCCTACTTCAACCGGAACCTGCTCCCAGTAACCCTACAACGACCCGGTAGCCTTCATGGCGTTTCCCGCGCCCTCATGGCGTTCCCCGCGCCCTCATGGCGTTTCCCGCGCCCTCATGGCGTTTCCCCCCTATAACCCAGCCGTTTAAGCTACCGTTCCGGAAGAAACCAATCGCTAAAATTAAGCACCTCTAAATCGCCAACGTTAAACCCCCGTACCACTGATGCTTTAACCAATAATCCTATTTGTACGTTTAAAGTGAGTTTAGGCCCGAATGCTATCCGATCAATCATAACTGCACATTCAATCGTTCAACCCAGACAATAACCCGTCCCTTGTTTCCATCACCCGTAAGTGTAGACAACCGTGTCGGTGAACACAACGTACACGGGGGTACGACACGCATAGACTGGCCTCGCAGCCCCGAATTATTTCCTAATATAGTACCTCTTAGTTCGATGCCATTTATCTTAATTCCTTTCCTCGAGTTTTACCGATATGCATTTTGTAGTGCGATTAAAGACAGTGTTCTAATTTCGACAAAACATGTAACTCTGACAAAGCAATAACTCAACCCATTTGTAAAAGAAAAACATTGTCCGACTTAAACAATTGGAAGTTGTAATCGATGCCTGACCCTATTTCAATCATCGGTGATGTTTATGTCAATCCGGGTATAATTGTTAATGACTCGGCGGTCCGTGTAGTGATAGCCGCTCTCAGTGGGCCACAGGGCACCTCTGACTGCGGGTTCGGCTCAGCCATTGTTATCCCGCACCCCAGCGCGGTGCGAGCAGCGAGGGCCGATCCCCTGATCATTAGTACGGCCGAGCCCGTCCGGCCCGGGCGTCGCCGCGCCCGCGGGTTGGGGTCCGTCCTCCCCACGCGTCCCGAGACAGCACCGTGACGTCATGCACGCAGCAGATCCGAGGACACAATCGCGGATTACCGACTGACGACATAAAACGCGTGTTGGGGGCCATGAATGGGAGAGAGAGAGAGAGAGAGAGAGAGAGAGAGAGAGAGAGAGAGAGAGAGAGAGAGAGAGAGAGAGAGAGAGAGAGAAAGAGAGAGGGAGAGAGAGAGAGAGAAAGTGAGAGAGAGAGAGAGAGAGAGAGAGAGAGAGAGAGAGAGAGAAAGAAAGAAAGTGAAAGGGAGAGAGGGAGAAGGGAGAGAGATAGAGAGAGAAGAGAGAGAAGAGAGAGAAGAGAGAAAGACATACATACAGACAGACAGACAGACAGACAGACCGCCCTACTGACAGACCGACGTACCATCAAACCAACAGACCATCAGACCGTGAACGGCAAACTGACGGACTGACAGGCCGACAAGCCGACAGAGCGACTGGCCGACACTCAGAGACTGCATTAACGATCACTCGGAGAAGACTGATAGGAAAGGTGGAATGTCGATAGATCACATTCTTACACGCGTCGTATCCATGCTCCGTCTTCAGTCGGTGCTCTACCACCGCGTCGAGTGATCGTGTGCCGCCGTCGGACCTAGCGCCCCATCCCAGTTTCCCTGTGAACCCGCGCTGGACGGCCAGTGGCACGCGCTAATTGCTCTAGCCGCCGCAGGACCGGCGGCCGGGACCGATCAGGCACCCAAAGATGGCCGCTTCTCTCGACCGGCGCCGGCCCCCCACCGCCGGCGTCACCGTCTGACCAGCCGCCAGGTAACCCCTCCCCACGAGCGGGACACCCCCTCCTTCACACACATTCCTGGGGATTAGCCGGGACGGCCGCCGCAGCCGGCTGATGGGTCCGGACGGCGCGGGCAGGGACATTTAAATCGTTCATAAACGGTATTGATATCGTCGTTAATTGTCGATGGTAATGAGCGGTGTTCGGGCAAATTTAAAATTAAGCTTAGCAACATCGTTCTGGCCACACTCGATCAGAATCGTGAAATCAAATGATGATTATAGGGTATATGATTGCCGGAATTACAGACCACGTAACGTTAACTGTTAAGCAGAGCACGTAAATTTCACATGTAGATCACATTTCGATTAAATGAAAGTGGAGCGAAAAAATGCCGGCCACTAAAGTATAATTCAAATCACAACTGATTCGTCAAGTTACTAAGCTCATCTCGGGCTTACATTAATTTACATCAAATTTGACTGGCTTTTGCTCGAGCTCGGGCACTCAACCCGCCGGAATTGACAAATTGTTTATCGTCAACAAGGTAAGGGCTTTGATGGGCTTTGTTTCACATGTCAACCTTGCCTGAGACCCAGAATTGACACGAACCGTTCAGTGCTGAATTACGCTTTATACCGAATTGAGGTATACGCACGGAGTTTCGCGACTAAACACTCAAAACATGACGTTACATTAATTTGCAGCTAGTGAGAAATAAACAACGTTTACCAGACATTGAAGCGATCGAGTATATGCTGCAACGCACGTCGATTTGCACTGCATCAAAATTAATTGAATCCCATCGTGCTAAATAATAAAATTTCGTGATGAATACTAAATCGTGCTGAATAATTAAATAATACATCCGGCCACATAATTACGAAAAACCTGACAGTACTACTGACGCAAATGCCTGTTTACTTTGACGGTCTCGAATCAGAGCTCTATCAAACAACAACCACGAGGACAACAGCAACCCAGTATGATGTAGTGTGACCTCCCACCCAGGGCGTATTTTAAGGGATTTTCACTGGGTCGGCAATCACATTTAGGGGCGGCATTTTGCACTCATAGGGGCGGCACTTGGCATCTGAGGGGGCGCCATACCTACTGATATTTAATGACAAAAAAGACATGTTCGACGGTTCTTTTATAACTCTTTCTAAGTAATGATTTCAGATTCAACCTACCTAAGCTCAGCGGTATTACGTCTATTTTTCCGGGATATAACTAGTATTTCTCGTGTCATAACGCGACAAATGAACTATAATTTGACTTTACAAAAATTAATTTAAAAATTTTACCTGAGGTCAAGTTCATGAACTCACGATAAATAAAACATGTTGCATACCAGTCGATCCGTATCGTCAAGCTTAAAACATTCACGGTGTTTTATGGCTCTAGAACAGTGGTCGGCAGGTCGCACGAGTGGTGCCCACTTTATGGGCGCTGGACGGAGCCATTACCCCCACTTGTCATACCCCATTGCAAGCCCCATTGCTTACACAGCAAGGGTCGCTGATATTCGGCCATATCCTTTGACGCCTCTATTTTTCTGCATCTAAATAAAATCCAACACAATTAACTCTCTTTTTATGGAGAGGGAGGAGAGCGGGTGGAGTAAGGATAAAGTCATACATTTTTTATTCATTAGTTACTCGCGTAATGAACAGCGTATTGATTTGTAACGATACGTTCATCCCCCCCCCCCAAGTTAATGAATGGTATACCTACCTACTCAAATATTTTCGTGACCCCAGTGACATTTTCATTGAGTTTTTGAAATTTGAATGACCTTCACTCGGTAACTTTCTCTCCGGATCGGCCGGCGGACAAAACGCAAGTGAAGACAATGCGGGGAGTCCGGTGCTCTACCAACTGAGCTACGGAACAGGCAAATGCTCACCATAGATACACCGACTGAACGATCCCTTTATAACTTCAGCGATTGATAAGACAAACAGTGTGTAACTGTATATATAAAATGTAAGTCTCGAAATTGCTATGTCTTTGACCAAAGGTAAGGACAATTTTGCGACCCTTCCATTAGGTATAAGGAAATGGGAGAAAATCAGGGCATGCATGCCTCTTTTTTTAGGTAGACAAATGTCAAAGTTAACGAATTTAAACATCATAAAACAATTAAAAATGAAACACTTAACCCTCGCCCGTATTGGTGTTTTTCCAGCCGCGAACGTATAAGGGGGGGGGGGGGGTCCGTTGGACCCCCCCCCCCTTGCCGTTTCGCCCCTGATCGAGCTAGAGCTTCGCGGAAAAAACGAGCGTGTTGCCCGTGACGAGAGGAAGCCGATGATACCCAATTTTAAGGTCCTAGGTCATTGGTTGACCTTGCAGGTCAGGTCAATGACCCAAAAGTCGGGAAAATCGGGACCTGTTAGAACGTCGTAAAGTATGGCTGCTATGGGGTTTTTCGGGGTGCTGATCACGAATATCATGTTAGTTTTGATCACAGATGATGTCTTCATGCATTTAGGCCGGGTCGGGTCAGGTCAGGTCAGGTCAACCAGTAAGGGTGTTCGTAGTAGATGGCAACCGCCTCTGACAGCTTCGTAACATGTTACGAAGGCACCAAAACTACTTCGTAAATGTTCATATGGTTGCTAAATTCGAATTCAGCTCTAAAAACTGGCCTAGAAACATGTAAAACTCGAAAAAGTGAACCGAGGTCATCAAAGGTCAATGACCTGACCTGACCTTCAGGTGACCTTGACACCCACCCTAATGCATGGGGCCGGGCAACATCATATCACATGTTTGAACGCTTGAAACCACGAAAAGACTGCAAACGCGCGGCTAATGCGAGCCGACATAC